TTCTTGTGAGGGATCTCTAGCAAAGTGGCCGTGTTCTGTTCAGTCTACCGGCCAATAGACTGAACAACCGTCTATTCCTCACCGTCAAGTTAACTCAGCGTCTGAAGATTATACGTCACACTCGCCCAGAATCACGAGTGGGAATATATATTATTCAGAAGCCTAAAGTGACAAATCTCCAGAGCGAAACAGACTGGTATCAGGTAACCCCTGGTGACAAAGATCGTTGTGAGTGACTTAGAGTGAACTAAGGCAGTGCTGCCGACTAAGTAACCTGTGTGTGACTTTACCACAAGTGTACCTGCATGGTACCACAGCCGCTGCTACTCGTCCCGAGCGTGTACCTCTATACCCCAGTACCCTAGTACCTCTGTACTTCTGTGCCTCGAGCGCCCGCCGCCGCCCTCACACTACTACGTGACGTCACCACCTTGCTCATCGCCAGTGCCAGTGGGTGCGCGTGTGTCTGTCAAGCATACAGCCCGCCCTACTGCAAGTACCCTCCGTGTCTACGAGCGAAGCCAGCTGTCAGGCCACCTACGAGTGCTTGTATAAATGTGCCTGAGTGAGTAAGGAAAAGGTACCTATCTGTAAGTACAAGATCTTGTCTTTGTTTTATTGTGTCTGTGTTAATCTGAGGGATCAACCACAGTTCTCACCTTCTCATACCTGTCACAGGTCATAGGTGAATCGACGGTGAATGCGTATTTATCTGTGTGGTATCACGGCATTTCACTCGTCTGTTGAATGTGAGCTTCACATACACCACACATTTAGTTAGTGTGTGATATTATTGTGCATGTTATTGCCTGTCCCATTGACAGTGTAGTTGTTGATATATTGCATATCATCATCACTTGCATACCGGCAGTTAGGTTGCCGTGTTAATGATTGGCTGTCAACTGTGTTAAGTTAGGTGTTTCGCCCCGAGTGGATACGAGTCGTTTAGCCAGACGTCAAGAGTCTCGCTAATATAACCATAGCTTTGCTGACGCCAATCTAAAGTAAATCAAGCACCCTGTGTATTAGTGGTTAAGTTAGTAAATAAACTACTGTTAAGCTTTATGCGGTGTTTCCGTTGAACCATTTCTGAATACTGCCAATCAAATACTAAAGCCTTCAGCTCTAAGTGTCTTCAACACCGAGTTGCCTATAAGTCACAAACTATAAATGTGATGAGGACCCTAGGAGTCCCTTAAAGTGTTAAATCATTGAGGAGATTCCAACGACCAACGTGGAGCAGGACCAGGTGAGGCTAGTCTGAGAAGAGACCCTCAAGGACTCTAACTCGACCTTGCTCCCAGGCCCTGTACGGTTGCTCTCGTATTTTCTATTCTGCAAATTCCGACATCGTGAAGCGTCTGCCACATGTACATTGGCGACGTACGCATTGCAGTCGTGAAAGCAAAAAAGAAACACCCCACATCTGGTGCCCAATGTGATTGGCTTAGTTGGAACCTATGAGCTAGGTTGTACAGTAAAATTTCGCACTTAAATTTTCTCTGAAAATTCAAAAGTGACGAGCAGTATTCAGAGGATGTTTAACACCCTGTTAGGTACACACACCACCAGTATGTCTGAGTGTGGAGAGTACAAACAGCGCTACCTGCATCTTCACCAGGCCTTGACCGCTCATAGACCTGACGACTACGACACTCTTAATGAGCAAGAGTGTAAGGAACGAGTGGAACAGCACATCAGGGCCGTGGAAGAGGTGAGGCTACAAGCACACATGCAGGGTAGTACTGAGGTGACGTGCACGAGTCTCATCACACTGGATGAGGCTATTGGGGGAGAGACCTCAGTGAGAGATAACACAGTGGGTGAGACCCCAGTGAGAGACAACTTGGAGGTAGAGACCCCTGTGGGTGACGTCACCGAGAATGATGTCACTAAAATCACGAGCGCTACAGAAGAAAACGGAGTCACGGGGGAATCTAGCCCTTTAAATACTCCGTTGGGGGGATTCTATGGGGAAGAATCTCGGCCCAAAAGGTCCTTGTGGACGATGCCAACTCAAAGAGTAGGTATTATAGGCTCGCAATTATTCACCTTAGAGGAATACCGTAACCAAGTTAGGGAGTTGGGATTCGAAGGGAATAAAGTGGCAGAGCAAGCTATGAAACTCTGGACTGATCAGCAGGACAGAGAAAGCAAACGGTGGACTGATCAGCAGGAGAGAGAAAACAAACGCTGGACTGATCAGCAGAACCGAGAAAGTACTGAACGCATAGCTCGCATGCAGTTGCAAGCAAGGCAGGATGACCAGACGAGTGGTCGTTCAACAGAGACTAACGTTGAACAAGGTAAGATTGTCAAACTACCTAAACTAGCTAACTTTGATGAGAGGGACGACTCGATGGATGCATACATCAAGCGTTTCGAAGGTCACGCCGCTGATTGCGGGTGGGAAAGATCAAAGTGGGCACTCGCTCTTAGTGCATTGTTAAAGGGTAGGGCACTAACCAACTATCACAGTCTGGGTCCGCACCAGCGCGGAGATTACGAGGCATTGACAACAGCACTGCTGAACGGTTTTGGCATTACTGCAGACCGGATGCTAGAGAATTTCCGTAGGGCTCAATTGCAAAAAGAAGAGACATATGTGCTAATGTTGCAGCGGTTAGAATCGAGTCTAAACCTTTACTGTGAACTCATGGAGACTGCTCCTGGGAGCATGCAGTTCTATCAACTGATGATCCGTGAACTGTTCTTAGAAGCATGCGAATCGTCTCTGCGTGTCAAGCTCAAAGAGCAAGAAATTGTGTCAAATCTGTCTATGGCCAAGCAAGCTGATCTGTGGGCTGGGGCCAGGAGACAGGTGAAAGGGGTGAAGCCACACGAGAAGCATCATGCTACAGGTATTGGCGAGGGAGCTAAGCCTAAGACTGGTGTGTCGGGGGAGCAGGGAAACTCCTCCAACAAGCAGGTGCACAAGTGCTACACCTGTGGTAAGCCAGGTCATCGTGCAGCTGATTGCAAGGTAAAACCGAAATCAGGTTACATAGCAGGTGTGAGCTCAAGTGGTAAGAAAAGGCCACAGGTGTTTTGTACTCCATTCCTTCCCGCTACCAAGAAAACTACAACTGCAACCAAACAACCACAAACAAAACAGCTGTTAATATGAGCATGTGGCTACAGTATCTGTGTGCACGAGGCTACAGTATCTGTGTGCACGAGGCTACAGTATCTGTGTGCACGAGGCTACAGTATCTGTGTGCACGAGGCTACAGTATCTGTGTGCACGAGGCTACAGTATCTGTGTGCACGAGGCTACAGTATCTGTGTGCACGAGGCTACAGTATCTGTGTGCACGAGGCTACAGTATCTGTGTGCACGAGGCTACAGTATCTGTGTGCACGAGGCTACAGTATCTGTGTGCACGAGGCTACAGTATCTGTGTGCACGAGGCTACAGTATCTGTGTGCACGAGGCTACAGTATCTGTGTGCACGAGGCTACAGTATCTGTGTGCACGAGGCTACAGTATCTGTGTGCACGATGCTACAGTATCTGTGTGCACGAGGCTACAGCATCTGTGTGCACGAGAATACAATGTCTGTGTGCACAAGGCTACAGTATCTGTGTGCACGAGGCTACAGCATCTGTGTGCACGAGGCTACAGTATCTGTGTGCACGAGGCTACAGTATCCGTGTGCACGAGGCTACAGCATCTGTGTGCACGAGGCTACAGTATCTGTGTGCACGAGGCTACAGTATCTGTGTTCACGAGGCTACAGTATCTGTGTGCACGAGGCTACAGCATCTGTGTGCACGAGGCTACAGTATCTGTGTGCACGAGGCTACAGTATCCGTGTGCACGAGGTTACAGTATCCGTGTGCACGAGGCTACAGCATCTGTGTGCACGAGGTTACAGTATCCGTGTGCACGAGGCTACAGCATCTGTGTGCACGGGGGTACAGTATCCGTGTGCACGAGGCTACAGTATCTGTGTGCACGAGGCTACAGCATCTGTGTGCACGAGAATACAATGTCTGTGAGCACAAGGCTACAATGTATGTGTTCACGAGACTACAATGTATGTGTTCACGAGACTACAATGTATGTGTGCACGAGAATACAATGTCTGTGTGCACAAGGCTACAATATATGTGTTCACGAGACTACAATGTACGTGTGCACGAGGCTACAATGTCTGTGTGCACGAGGTTACAATGTACGTGTGCACGAGGCTACAGTACCCCTGTGCACTAGGTTACAATGTATGTGTGCACTAAGCTACAGTGTCTGTGTGTACGAGATTACAATGTACGTGTGCACGAGGTTACAATGTACGTGTGCACGAGGCTACAATGTACGTGTGCATGAGGCTACAATGTACGTGTGCACTAGGCTACAATGTACGTGTGCACGAGGTTACAATGTACGTGTGCACGAGGCTACAATGTACGTGTGCACTAGGTTTCAATGTACATATCCACTAGGCTACAATGTACGTGTGCACGAGGCTACAATGTACGTGTGCACTAGGCTACAATGTACGTGTGCACGAGGTTACAATGTACGTGTGCCCTAGGCTACAATGTACGTGTGCATGAGGCTACAGTATCCATTTGCACGAGAATACAATGTCTGTGTGCACAAGGCTACAATATATGTGTTCACGAGACTACAATGTACGTGCGCACGAGGGTACAATGTCTGTGTGCACGAGGCTACAATGTCTGTGTGCACGAGGCTACAATGTACGTGTGCACGAGGCTACAATGTACGTGTGCACAAGGCTACAATGTACGTGTGCACAAGGCTACAATGTACGTGTGCACTAGGCTACAATGTACGTGTACACGAGGTTACAATACACGTGTGCACGACGTTACAATGTATGTGTGCACTAGGCTACAATGTACGTGTGCACTAGGCTACAATGTATGTGTGCACTAGGCTACAATGTACGTGTGCTCTAGGCTACAATGTACATGTGCACGAGGCTACTAAGTGGTATTTGACTATTTTTGTTCACTTAACACTTTTTCTACTTATAATACCGAGTATTGGTTCTGGGACTTGTGTGCCAGTGAGCGGTGAGACTCTATTGCTCCAACTTGTCTAAGTATCAGAGGAACAAAGTAGTTGAGAGCGACACTCCTGATAGGAGGGCAAGCCGGTCGCGCCAGTCTTATAGAAGATTGTACAGTGGAGGAGATATTTCGCACTGGCAAGGACAACAAATTGTTTTGAGTACTGTGCGGCCACACTGGTGTCTGGTGAGTGTGTAGGCCAAGTGTGCGCACATTGAGTATGTTCCTGGTGTTGCAGTGAGGTATGACCAGGTAAGAGATCAATGCAGTACGATTATTATCTGCCGATATTACCCACACTGCAGATCAAGGACCTGGTTAATCAGGTCCTTGATCTTATATGTGTATTTGCGGCGAATTGTGACCCAGGCCAAGGGCCTGGGAATTTTAGGGTTCAATCCCCGAGCCCATTAGGTGCCTCTTTTAACCTTTTCCACTAGCGCCGCAAGATTGCGTGAATTATAAATAAAGTAAAGTAAACTGACATTATTTACCCGGAATGACACCCATAACACCGTCAGTGAGGCTCTTACCGTCAGCGTTCCACTTGAGCAGCGTCTCCACCACCTGCCTGTGACCTTCCTTGCGAGCGTAGTAGAGAGGCGTCTCGCCACTAGGGCTGACTGCGCTGATGTTTGCTCCCTCAGAGATGAGCTCCTCCACCCAGGTGTTGTTACCGTCGATGGCGGCGGAGTGAAGCTTCGTCCAACCTGTCAAAATAAACATTGCTGTTGACGAACTTCGTACTTGAACCTAGTGTTGACATGTACAGTTTCGACCAATAATTCAAATAATCCCTTTCGTTTTTGGATATATATGTCAATTGATTTGACAAAGTCCACCAGGGCTGTGAGGTGACACGAACCTCCGACCAAGGCAAGTGCCGGCTGCATACTCGACCACTGTACCATCATGGACTAGTCAAGTCATACAACCAGATTTCAACTGAAATCATACGAAGTCTGGAGGCCCCTACTGAAGCAAGTCGAAGTGTTTACGTATTCCTCGTAGCCTGGTGGATAGCGCGCAGGACTCGTAATTCTGTGGCGCGGGTTCGATTCCCGCACGAGGCAGAAACAAATGGGCAAAGTTTCTTTCACCCGAAGTGCCCCTGTTACCTAGCAGTAAATAGGTACCTGGGTCAGCTGTCACGGGCTGCTTCCTGGGGTGTGTGTGTGTGTGGTGTGGAAAAAAAAAAAAAAGTAGTTAGTAAAACAGTTGATTGACAGTTGAGAGGCGGGCCGAAAGAGCAAAGCTCAACCCCCGCAAAAACACAACTAGTAAACACACACACACACATACACACACACACACACATATATATATATATATATATATATATATATATATATATATATATATATATATATATATATATATATTATTAAATATGACCGAAAAAGTAAGATTAATAATTCTAACACGAATTTTCTCAATATTTCTTATGGTTCTTTTCACTGTCGATGGTAATTGAAAATCAGTTCCCCAAAATTCATTTTTATTTCTAGTCTGACGCGACACTTGAACGCGTTTCGTAATAACTTATTACATTTTCAAAGACTTTAGTTTACACACACACAACTATAACCTGCAAACACTAAAACAGATTTCTTACTATGCTATAATTCAAACGGCTTTTCATTTTTTATATCTGCATTTGGGTTAGGTGATATGTTACAACAGTTTTGGATGAGGTGAAAACAAACTTTCAACACAAGACAGAACACGAAATATTGGGCAATATTGGGTAAAGTTAAAGGGGAAGAATAGAAGTAAACGCAAAGGGCTTATTGGCCCATATTTCTTGATGCTTCTATATTGGAGCGGAGTCTTGAAACGGGTAGAATATAGTTGTACATTAATTGGCTGTTGATTGCTGGTGTTGACTTCTTGATGTGTAGTGCGTCGCAGATGTCAAGCCGCCTGCTATCGTTGTATCTATCGATGATTTCCGTGTTTTTTGTTAAGACTTCTCTGGTGATGGTCTGGTTGTGGGAAGAGATTATATGTTCCTTAATGGAGCCCTGTTGCGTATGCATCGTTAATCGCCTGGAAAGAGATGTTGTTGTCTTGCCTATATACTGAGTTCTTTGAGGCTTACAGTCCCCAAGTGGGCATTTGAAGGCATAGACGACATTGGTCTCTTTCAAAGCGTTCTGCTTTGTGTCTGGAGAGTTTCTCATGAGTAGGTTGGCAGTTTTCTTGGTTTTATAGTAAATCGTCAATTGTATCTTCTGATTTTTGTCTGTAGGGATAACGTTTCTATTAACAATATCTTTCAGGATCCTTTCCTCCGTTTTATGAGCTGTGGAAAAGAAGTTCCTGTAAAATAGTCTAATAGGGGGTACAGGTGTTGTGTTAGTTGCCTCTTCAGAGGTTGCATGGCGTTTCACCTTCCTTCTTATGATGTCTTCAGCGAAACCATTGGAGAAGCCGTTGTTGACTAGGACCTGCCTTACCCTACAGAGTTCTTCATCGACTTGCTTCCATCCTGAGCTGTGGCTGAGAGCACGGTCGACATAAGCGTTAACAACACTCCTCTTGTACCTGTCTGGGCAGTCACTGTTGGCATTGAGGCACATTCCTATGTTTGTTTCCTTAGTGTAGACTGCAGTGTGGAAACCTCCGCTCCTTTCCATGACTGTTACATCTAGAAAAGGCAGCTTCCCATCCTTCTCCATCTCGTAAGTGACTTTTTCGGTCATATTTAATAATATATGTCTACAGGAAAGACTGCTACCAAAATATACTATATATATATATATATATATATATATATATATATATATATATATATATATATATATATATAATATATATATATATATATATATATATATATATATATATATATATATATATATATATATATATATTCACTTCTGGGGTGTGAGTTTTCAGTTGCATATATGCCTGGGGACTATTCAGGCTTGTTCGCATTTGTGTTCCTCACGTGTGCCTCAAAGAATGAGGTGATTTGATAAAATACTATCCCCAAGATTACCATCAGAGTGCCGGCGGGATGATGGGGAATTACCCTCGGCTACCATCATGGTGTTGTATACAATGTTCTCAAGATGCTGTATTTATTGTTCTCAAGGTACTGAATACCATGTCCTCAAGGTGCTGTATACAAATTTTTCATGGTGCTGTATACAATGTTCTAATTGTGTTGTATTCAATGTTCTCAAGGTGCTGTATTTGTTGGAAGTTTTCCAACACTAATACATCATTTCTTGTATTATAATAAATCATCATTGTATTAGTCGTAGGGATTACTAACTCTACTAATTTGTAGAACTATTTCAATTAATGTTGCTATTACGAAGCCATTTTTGCCAGATTCTTCCTACAGTCAGAATGACGTTGGGAGGAACGACAGGCTGAGACATGAAACTCTCCACATTTAGTTGAATCTAAAACAGAGTCCAGTTAATTACGTTCCTTTACTAAGGATAATCGTTTATTTAGTTGATTATTTACCTAGCATATTATTGCTTGCTGAACTCGTTCATTTAGGAGAATTATTAACTACAGTGGTAAATACTGAAATGTAAAACAATTTATATGATAATCCTTTCATTTATTTGTGCAGTCGTAATAAGTTTACTTGCGCTATGCAAAAAATATATTACGCCTTAATACATTTATTAGTGACAAACACTTGTCACAATTCCTTACTTTCCCTGATTAATTATAAGTAATTAAAAATAATTTACGCTCCTACAACCACGAGAGCGGCGCCACGTTATCTTGGCACATTACGGCAGTGTCCAAGGAACTAATCATTACTCCACAATTGACGTCTTATCACGGCAACTGGAGACGAGGGACCTGGAGTCGTTCCCTAATCAACGGACACTTGGCCCGGCAAGTAAGTATTCTATTTGTATTACTGTGAGCACATATTACACTTAAATAGTTATCGTTAAGATGAGAAATTAACATCAAAATCCAGTACGTGTACTCTCTTATCTTGTTCCATAATTTATATAGGCATATTATATTAATATTTGCAGAAGAATTCTGCAGTGACATGTATTTAGGAAGAATTCCGTATTAAATGTATCTGTAGTTAGTCACGTAGAAGAGTTTTACATTACAATTGCCTTTCAACTCCTGGGACCACGTCAAGCGAGGTGCTAGGCTTCCCACCTTCACGCGCTACAATTTGTCCGACGCAATACGTCGTCAGTGGAGTGTGGCAACCGATTACATCTATCTAGATTTCACAGCTAAGCTGTTAATCGTTATTGTAGATAAATAACCTTGTAGATACTTTAATGATCTAATGAGATCAACATTACTAACCCATTGCTATAGTAATATTAGTCTACATTCTTGTAGTATCTTGAGGCACATTCGCTTCTAATTACTATTACCTAATTCATTCAATATTCATTTACTTTTACTTACTTCAGTGAACGAACCAGCACTGAAATAATGCTTGGGATATATAAATATTTTTGCATGTAACCCCCCATTTTGGGTGAGAGGATTTGACTCATAATACAGTCCCCTTTAATATTCAATGTAATATTAATTAAAACATCCATAGGACACTAGTTCATGGATTAAATTATCATACCACTAGCTCTACCCTGTTTTCCACTTTTTTCTCAAAAAGTGGTGGTCCTTCGTAAGCTATCGAAAATAGAATTAATTTAAATGATTTACGTGAGTCAAGTTTTCCCACAGTATTCATTGTTCCCAAGGTGTTGAATACAATGTTCTAAAGGTGCTGAATACAATGTTCTCATGGTGCTGTATACAATGTTCTCAAGGTGTTGTATACCATGTTTTCATGGTCGTATATATACAATGTTGTCAACGTACAGAAAACAATGTTCTCAAGGTGATGTATGCAATGTTTTAATGGTGATGTATACAATGTTCTAATGGTGACGTATACAAGGTTCTCAAGATGCTGTATACAGTATTTTCAAGGTGCTGTATACAACGTTCTCAATGTTCTGCATACAATGTTCTTAAGATGCTGATTACAGTGCCATCAAGTAAATAATTATCAAAAGAAGGCACTAAACCGGGAAGGCACCACCAAATGTGCAGAGTAATCAGAGGGCACTAAATATCACCAAGTATGCCAATACGAGAACAGAAACGCATAAGGTGAACGATATCAAAAGTATTCGATTCACAAAAAATTCTACCGAGGGACAATTGACCGCGAGGGACGGTCGGAAAGCAAGACACACGTTCGTCCTGGAAATAAGGACATTCAAGAAGGATGTACATGACCGTAAGAAGGACAATGAAATTTGGACAATAAGGAGCAGGGCACCATTAAGTGACCGTGAGTTAAACGGGTATGGCCAATACGTAACCTAGCCAGCGCCGTTTCCCACCGCCGGTTACAGTGGTAAGAGGAAGGCCACTGGGACACACGACTCTTAAGAGTATGCAGTTTGGTACCAATAACAGAAGACCAACAATTCTGCCAGCTGGCAAGGATGGAGGCAAGAATAACTTGGTAAAAGTTGGAATTAGGAATACATTTATGGGAGATGGGACAAGTGTGGATAGCTTCCTTAGCGGCAGCATCCGAACGCTCATTTAAAGAGACACCAACATGGCTGGGAACCCAGCAAAACTCAACCGACTTAAATTTACTGGAGATAAAAAACAGCCAATGTTGAATCTTGGTGACCTCTGGGTGGACCGGATTAAAGGACGCTAAAGTTATGAGGGCACTACGAGAGTCAACTACCACCACAAAGGGGGATTGACACCGGGAAAGCAGGAGACGAAGAGCATAGCATAAAGTTCTGTTGTGAAGATGCTAGCCTCCGGAGGAAGGTGACACATAAGTGTGGTCAGGAAAAACAACAGAGAAGCCCACACCGTCAGCAGACTTAGACCCATTGGTGAAGATGGGAACGGAGTGGGAATG